CTCTCTCTCTCTCTCTCTCTCTCTCTCTCTCTCTCTCTCTCTCTGTATATATATAACAAGTATATATAACGGAAACTTATGTTATCAGTATGAAATGTCGAGTTGATAGCACTGGATTAGAAATACCTCTTATCAGAGGCTTTTTTTTCACGTGTGACTTATCATTTTATAGATTAAGAACGATGGCAACCACTGTAGGAACGCCTGAAAAACGTATGTTATCAGTAGATGTCAGTAATGGTAAGAGAGATAATATTGGACAAGAAATATCATCTTTGGAGCGTCTAATAGCTACGGGTAAAATACCTTGATAAAACAAATTTTAATCTGGGAAAAAAATTAAACAAATTAAAACAGTTTTAATTGTTCGGTTCAATCTCAGTAATATTTCCGAATGGTTTTTGTGATTGTCGTTCTGTTAATTATCTGTTTATTTCAGCAATGACTGATATCGCATCAGAAATAAACAAGAAATATGTGGAATGTATCCCTGATTTGGTTACAACTAATAAATTATTGGATACCATTCGTTCCACCTGTAGTGCCGTCAATCACTCAGTCGATTCCATTGCTAACAATGTAGAAAATGTGGCGAAGGAAGCTGAGTTAAATGTTAGTTGTCAGATTGTTTATTTGAATTGCCTAATATGAACATGCATGGACTTGTATAATTAGCAATGACTGTTCAGTTATCAATTAATGGGAAATGAAGAAAAAAGAAAGTTTAGAAATGAACAAGTGAGTGGTTACGGCGAAATTAATAAAACCTACAATTTACCGTCAAATTATCGATTAACAGACGATCAGTTGACTTGCCAAAGATGGATTAAACGATACTATTGCTTTTCAGTACCATTAATTTTTTCATTAATTCTCGATATCATTAACTTATTCCTGGCGGGTAATAGCGGCATTTGTTTACATGTTTTTAAAAAATTTTTCTTTAAGAAAAAAGAACTGGAAAAATTAGAATCTTTAAAAGATTGGAAATTGAAAATGCATTCCTTGGAAGAAATTGAATCACTGATATGTCAATTATGGTACTCCTCAAATGAAGAAAACTCTCTGGTCAATGCACAACTGCTCGTACAGCTGGAAGGAAAATTAAAGGACATTATACAGGCACAATTTCTTGAAAAGTTCAATTATGTCGTAATTGAGATTTCTTGCAGTGTTGGATTAATAGAGGATTATTCGTGCGATCAAATTACTGTTTATCCTAGTTTTATATAATTCTTTGATTAGAGTAAAATAGATATTTTAAACTCGAGATATAGCAGTAGGATGGTTTCAAATGTTGTAAGAAACACTTATCATGTTACAATCATGCAGTTTAACAAATGATAAGTCATCTTTCCAACAATATCTTTACCAATTTACCTTGATTTTCATAGATTTGGTTAGGCTTTTGAAAAAATGATCACAAACGAATATGAGGACTTTTTTTAATGAATATTTTTATCTTCAAAGAAAGTTGAATGGAGCCAATATTTCTGTAAAAGCAATTTTACATAAAAACGTTATTGTTAGCAAATATATTACTCGACCTGGAACGATTGCAGGAGGATAAAACTATTGATAAAACATTCGCAGAGCGCATTGGTCCAGCATTGAAAACGGAAATTGTGATGCTGCGACAAGGTCTAACTTACATGTTGAACAGTTTCTGGGATCAGATATTTTCTGTACGAGAGCTCAATAATAAAGTTATTTTGCACTTGACGGGATCTAGCTGTGATGCTTTGAACGAAGTGAGTTTGCATTTTCAAAAAGTTTTCTTGCAGCTTAAAAGTCAATTTTTTTCCCATTTGGCTATGACTCGGTTATCAGAATAAATGAAAGTTTTCGAGTTTTAGTTATGGTACTGCAACATGCGAGACTACTTTAAGCTTAGTAAATGTTTTATGAATTATTTTGTAAGCATCATTTGTGCTTATGCTTACATGCCAACATATCCTAATCTTAATGTGCTCTTGCAAAGTAATGTTTATTTTAGTCTTTATGGCATAATACCTGAATATTAGGATAGATCGGCATGGATTTTAAATTTGCAATTATTTCATATGACTGATCCGCTGGTAGTAAGTTAAATGTATGTATCTCGCTACTCTTCGTGGGTTTTAGAGAAAGCTCAAAAAAACTCCGAACTTGTTCCTCATACTACTGCTTTCTTTAAAACGGATTGGAGTAATAGTATCCATAAACATTTCGTTAATTTTTTTTTTTTTTTTTTTTTTTTTTTAACGAGGGAATGAAAGACTGTTTCAGAAACTATCTGCAATGGATATTTTAAATTTAATTGATGCAAAAGTTGGCAAACTGTCATTTGCTTTGATGCATCATTTTTGTAAGAGGTTGATTGCTGCAAAAGATCCTACTGAAATTATCATTTATCGTGGTGGTACTTCTTTCTCAGACCATGAATTTGTAGTGCGCAAGGAAACACCAGTGGAAGATGGGAAGAGAAAACGCCCTGATCCAGAAAAAGTTTTCCGGTGAGTACTTGAAAGATGTTACTTTGATTTTTGATATTTTCTAAAGACTCATGGGTATCTATTATATGCATTTTATACAGAATAGAAATTTTTGTGATACAAATTTTGGAATATCTAATTCTTCAGAAAGTTGAATCGAAATTTCATTTTAAGGCTTAACTATCCATTTTTGAAATATTAGTAGTGCTGCAGCATGAAAATATTCATACTCTAAGGAGATATTTCTTTTCTCTTCATTATCCATCAAATTGAATTTGTATGGGATGGCATAAACGACAACAAAGAGAAATATTTACGCATGCAATGCTGATGCATTGTATTTAAAATGCTTATATTTGTAGCGCAATGCTGGAGTTATTCCAGAACTTAGGCTCAAATCTCGGTGCGATGAAAGTAAGTGGAAAAAGTATGGTGCAGTTGATTGGTGATAAAATATCAAATGAAATCGTTGAATTGTTGGTGCATGAATGCCTTACACCAGCTATCCCTTATGATTCCAAAGATATACCTGCATTTGAGACTCTTCTAGCAACGACAGATCAATTTGGCGAGGAGATGAAGGTTTGTTAATTCAAGTCCTTTTCCATAGTATTATATTAATTCCATTCAAAAGGTATGATATATTACTTCTTAATTTTGGCATTTATATTTCAGAAGCTAGGATTTTTCACAAATTTAACTGAATCGTTTCGGAAATTTGCTGAAAATTACGAGAGCACGTTCATCAATCGAAGATGCAACAAGATTATTGGCGAAGCACGTTCCCTTATTGAAGCGCCGTTGACAGATTTTATTTCAGTATATATATATATATATTTTTTTTTCATCTTTTTTGATTGCTAGACCTGATAGTGTCATCAGACTGTTCTGTGGAAATTTGTCTCTATGAGCAGGACTAATCGCTGACTGCTGACTTCATTTTTTTTCTTTATTAAATAAATGGTAACCGTTGATGGGTATCATTACGAAGACCATCAACGTTTTCCAGCTCTTTATTTACATCCTGTTTCTGGATTTACACAAAAAAAGACACAAACCCAGAGACCTACAGTACTAGTGGTCGAACTGTCCTGTAGGTTGGCAGCACTTCAAATACGGATGACGATGAAACTGTTGAAGAATTTATTAAACTCGGATTAAGAAAACCGGAAGAAACCGATGGGAATGAGGAACATTATCCGAAATTGATGCGGTTGGTGAGCTGTCAAGTCAGGTATGACATTCTGTTATTTACCTCTGGTGAAGCGCTTTAAATGTTGTTGCTCGAAAAGTCTCTTTGTGATATGAAGTAGGTTGATGATAATTGCTTCCAGTACATATATCTCCGGTTCCGTTTGATTATGTCACCTGCTCTTTCGCTCGCTGTTGACATTTTGTTGGATCCCGGCCCATTATATCATTTTATAATATTTTAAGTGATGTCGCTAATGCTATGTGTTTTAGAGGCTGAAATAGTTTTAGCATTCTATTGTGAAATCATTAACATAAAAGTATTGTTGTGGTTATTTCAGTAAGACGGCTGCCGACATAACAGATCTAATAGTAAGAACACTGGATGATGCAGCGAAAACAGATTCCGCCTCAGCTATGGCTAAAATGTTGCAAACAGCTCGTAATATAGTCGAACTCTATGCATGGACCGCACCTCAAAAGCATGATTCTGAAATCTCCTCGGTTCCTGTTTTGGCAGGTTGGGATTTCTTTTCCCTATATCACTTCGTTTTTTTTTTTTCTTGAATATCGTTTTATATTAAAGTTATCCAGATACTCTTGCAATTTACTCATCTTTAGTACAATCGTAATCAAACATGACAGGTACAGTATTTTACAGTAATCGTTATCAAAGGAGACTTATGGTATACTGCCTCTATCTTTTGATGTGTTTAGGTTTGGGTTATCGGTGAAATGTTTGTTGATCTAAAATTTATCGTTTAATCACGGTAGAATAGATGTTGAATCAGGTTGGTATAACCTGAAGCTGCAAGAATTTTTTTCGTCCCTGATAAATAAGCGAGGGAATTACCACTAAAAAGGAAATGAGTTTGACTATTGCTGAAGTAGCTTACTTTATATCAATTTACTTTAGTGTTGTTATTTGATTCATAATGACTGGAGGCATTATTTTCAACCGATACGAATCCTTTCTACTAACCTTCCAAGAATTTGTTGTATAGATTTGATAGTTTTGAATTTTTTTCAGCCATATTTTATAACAACTGTTATTATATCTGTCATCGGTTAATGGTTATAACAGTTGAAATATTGCCGAAAATGCGCGACGTCATGCAGGTTGCATTATTTTTTTTATTTCTTAAGTGGGATTTTCAGTTTACAAATTCGTATAATTCTAAATTTTTGGTCTGCCTTTAATTACCCTGCTTGTTCAATAGAAAATGTGGTGATTTCCTTCGTCGTTTAACGTCTTTCTATCTGCCAACTTCTTTATATACAGAATCAGGTAAAATAACAGGCAAGATCAAATAAGGCTTGTTTTCCTCAAAAACGAATGCACTTGAAAAAACTACACTTTTACAGACAAAAAATCTGTTCATTTCCTTTATGGATTTCATTCCAAATCTTCGACAGATTGCTGCCGAATCAATGGAAAAGCAGTTAGCCCAGCGTCGTCGTCAGATTTCTACTCTTCTGGCGGATGATAAAAGTTAGCACATTTACACATTTTTTTATGTGTTGCGGATGAACAAAATGTATTTTCAATCTATTTTCAAATTTCCTCGACAACTCAGCAATGACATTTTCCAGTCTTTTTTGGCTTGGATGACGTTTCACAGTATGAAAAATGCATGAAATGTTTGGATGGATGTATGATGAATCTGGAGCAAATTTCTGGAGTTTGGAGGACGGTGAATTTATTAGCTGTTTTGCTTTTTGACTATTGCTGGCTTTTTTCAATACCCTCTCTGATCGAAAATCCTTTCCTAAGTTTTTGGCCACATAACTTTGTAATGACTACATGAATGCTCTTCGGAAAAATATGCACTGGACAGCTTCCTACTCCACAAGTAGCTATTTATTCATTCAGTATATTTAGTTAGTGAGGTAAAGTGCCCTATGTGGTGTTCTTTTAAACTAAAATATAATTTTCGTAGGTTCTAACCAAAATAGTTTATGCGAACTGTGTTGGGAATGTCATCTCTTTTTTCTTCAATACACTGATCAAAATATTGTTATCTGCGGAAGATATTCGAGCAACTGATGCTGAACTAAGTGCTATAGTACTGAGAAAGATTTTGAAGAGATCGGAGATGTTATTTGTTGTAAGTTTTAGAATTGATTCTTTCCCGTTTGATCATTTAGTTAATATATAATAAAAACAAAAAAGATATAAAATTCATCAACTAATGCAAAAAAACGAGAATTTTTCTTGGGTAATAAACAAGGATAAAAAAGTATTAGACACCTCAGTGACCTGGCTTTTTTAATTGGTACCTAATAATTATGTTTTTTTTTTCATTTAGAAAAGGCAAAAGTTATTTTCATCGAACTTCATAATGTTTCGGCAATAGCAACACTTGTTTTTTATATAATGTTTCGGCAATAGCAACACTTGTTTTTTATATCGTTATTGGTAATAACAGTGTCCGAATTTCATTTTAACATGTATTTCTATTTCCATCATCAATGGGGAATAATATCTGAAGCTGAGAAAATATTTTTTTTCTAGATTGGACAGTCGAAGCATTCGTCGATCCATAGATATGCCGAAGCACCATATTTCCGCATCAAGGAGTTATTGTTCTGCCTCGACTCATCTTTACAGGTTTGCATTTTTTGTTTGCTGTTATCGGCTTTCATATGTATTTGTGTGGATAACAAAAGGGTAAAGTTGGATCGACATCATAAAATCGATGTATTAAATCAGTGCATCCGAAAAGCAAGTCATTAACATGGTCCATTATTTTAGAACATTTATGATCGATGGTGTGATGGAAAAGGACCTCTGGCACAGTGGTTACATGCAGATGAAGTACGTCATTTGGTGAAAGCTTTGTTCCAGAATACTGAAAAAAGAGCTCAGGTGTTGTCGAAGATTAATTGACTTCGTTGATGAAGATTCCAAATGATCTGTGGTTCCACTGTTTATGGAACGGTTCTGAAGATATTAGATATTCGCTTTTAATGTATTTTATAACAAGATGTTTCTGATTAATCTTGTACATATAATTTCTAAATAAATTTTCAATTTTTATGGTTCGGGAATAAGCAGTTTTTTGTTTGCAATGCGTCGCTTTATCAACAGTGTATGCGTATTTGTTATCCACTTGTTCAATAAAGGAAAAATATCCTCTTTTGATGATACGCTGGAAAAAAAGGGGATGAAGAAGACAATCCTTTTACAGTTTTAAACTTGAAGATAGCTGTCGCTCAACATTTTATAAAATAGCCAGGTCAATGGTTTTGTCTGCATTATTCTAGGTTCACTGAATGTGACTACAGCTGTTACGCAGGTGCACACGTCATATTGGAAGTTGAAAAAACGAAAGATAATGGTGCTAAGTCGAACCAGGCGTGTCCCGCTGGATATCAAATCAGTAAGACCGGACATTTAGTATTTTCCTTTATCAAATTCTACTATGATTTTATATGAGCTCTTGAAATTTGAAATCATTTTCTGCTATTTCTACATTTATTTACGTTGCAATATTACATAATACATTTTGACAGCCATAGTAATCTGACATTAAATAAATCATACAAAAGGTAAATTTCGTCTAGTAAAATGCACGATAAGAAGAAACAAGTTTAATTTAAGATGGTTTATTTGCCTGGATGCTAAAGAAGTATTTTACAGAATAAATTAATTGTATTACTACATATATTTTGCAGTTTGTTGTGAATTGGAGGAATTTGGCTACAACACAAACCGACCCTATCCCTACCTGTCGAATAAAACCCTTGGAGAAAATCCGGAATATAGGTTTGCTTTTGTTTTCATGCAGGGGAAAAAATTAATGAGGAAAGTATACTATAATTTGTATGTTAACAGGATCGGTTTTGACGGTTGACGGTTTTTTAAATTTTTTACGAATTGGCGGTTTCTCAGTTCCTTAATTCATTTCACAAAATTTCCAGGTATATCTGCTCACATTGACTCTGGAAAGACTACAGTTACGGAAAGAATTTTGTACTATGCCGGTCGGATTAGGGAGATGCATGAAGTATGGTTTTAATCAAAACATTCATTAGTTTTTTGATTGTTGTATCGGACATCCTTAAAGTAACTAACGCTTCGCCTCAAAATAATATGCTATGGTGATATCTATTAAAATTGAAGCTTGGTAGAATTTAGTAGTTTCAAGCTTACTTTGAATATATTATTTCTAACTCTTGTCTTCCCAACTCGTATTTCCTCTGTAACTTTTTACTATTTGATTTATACGAGAATATTACTTTCTTAAATTGGTTTTTCTACTTACCATCATAGTCGCGGAAACATCGAAAATTTCTTGCATTATGGGAAGTGAGGTATAATTTAGTAAAATACAAATTGACGGCCTAAAAAACTGACGCAAGGCAAAAATGTTTTTGCATTCATTTATGAGCGCTATTGCAATAGTTTGCCCATTTATTCTTTTGGTCATACGAAGTAAAATTGTTCAGGTGTTCTTGCAGGTTTTATCTTGGTCTTGTTTAATTCATCTGATTTATTTACAACTCCAATTAATTTATTAAAATTACTGATAAAAACGAGATAAAATACGGTAAATTCATTTTAGGTGAAAGGAAAAGATGAGGTTGGAGCAACAATGGATTTTATGGATTTAGAAAGGGAACGAGGAATTACCATTCAATCAGCTGCAACTTATGTTGATTGGAATGGTGTAAATATCAATATTATTGACACTCCAGGTTTTTCATTTCTTTTATATCCAATTAATAATCTTTCTTGCACTGCGTTAATTCTTTTTTTTAAATTCTGGATTAGAATTCCATGTTGTGTATATTTCAATTAACAAGATGAAATTAGGGCATGTTGATTTCACGGTGGAAGTTGAACGAGCTTTACGTGTATTGGATGGCGCTGTGTTAGTACTTTGCGGTGTTGGAGGAGTACAAAGCCAGACATTTACTGTCAATCGACAATTAGCGCGCTACAACGTACCGTTTATTACATTTATCAACAAACTGGATCGAACCGGTGCAAATCCATTCAAGTACTGTGTTTTAATGCTATGTTTGACATGTATGTCTCGTCTTGTAATAATTTATGATTTGTTACAGAGCATTAAACGATATACGAACAAAGTTGAAACATAATGCAGCCCTATTGCAAATCCCAATCGGAAAAGAACATGGCTTCAAGGTTTGTTTGTATCAGCTGATTATTTATACAGAATTTTGGCAGTATATGTCTAAGTGGAGTGGATATTTTTCAGCCTTAAAAGTGTTGCTTCTCAAGCACAGCATTAAGTGATATAATTTTGATCCACCATCCTTGATTGATTTTTGGGAATGATAGCTATTTCCAATAAAAGGATGTCTTTTATTCGATGGATGAAAAGATATCCCTTCATGATATTCAAGTTATGGAATATCTATTGTCATTTTTTTTACATGATCTTTTTTTTCTTCCAGTACTTTGTACATCATGTTTAGGGTGTCGTAGATCTGATCGAGGAACAGGCAGTGTATAATGAAGATTCTGATGGAAGTATATTAAGAAGGGATGAAATACCGGCTGAATTACGGGCACAAGCAAAAGATATGCGTCAAGAATTAATAGGTAGAACGATCACCTGTTTTGCATCTCTGCTCTGTGATATATAACCGTTTGCTCTAATTTTTACATCTTTTAATCTCATTCTTTTTAATTTGATGATTTATCTTTGTATTGTAAGGTGGTGAGTAAGAAAGAAAAGTCTTCTTAACCTTCTATGTGCATGAGTCTGGCAATTTTTTCAATATACAACGGACTTTACAGTTCATTCTCTAGGTTGTCCATTGATTTGATTCATCTTTCTCTTCTATCATTTTATGTTTATTGGGATCTTTTAAGTGAGGAACAAAATGTTGTGTACTGACTTGTGTTCATGATCAAATGTATCATTAATGATCTTTCCTTACACCATAAAATTACAGAATATCTTGCAAATGGCGATGATCTTATTGCTGAACAGTGGCTTGATAATATTACGCCAACTGCGAGTCAGATTCACAAAGCTGTTCGTCGGGCTACAATCAAGAGAACCTTTGTACCTATGTTTGTTGGCACTGCATTAAAGAATAAAGGCGTTCAATTAATGATTGATGCTATAGTGCAGTATTTGCCCAATCCATCGGAAGTGGTGAATCGAGCTTCAACATTAAACAAAGTGTAGGTACATGCAAAATCTCAAATACTGGCTTAGGAAAATAATTATGAAATTTTGTGAAATTTAGGAAAGTAAATTTTCAATCGTAATTTTGATAGTCATTATTTTTACTTTTAGTCATTAATTTTACTTTCAATTTCCAATTCTTGTACTTTTAAATTTTTCACAAGCCACAATTTGTTTGACTTTCGCTTAATTTCTCATTTTCTAAACTGTCGTTCCCTTAAGTTATGTACTAAAAGATCATTAATATTTGAGGAGCGGGAAAGAGGAACAAATTGTGCTGAATCCAGAACGTAGTAACACTCAACCATTTGTTGGTCTTGCATTCAAACTAGAGGTTGGATTCTTCATGTTTTTTTATAATTCTTTGATTAATTTCTTCAAAGTTACTTTCAAATTTGTTACAACAACTTTCTGTCTTGTTTTTTTCCTTTTTCTACTACAGGAAATTTTTTTGGTTTATAAATATATTTCAGGGAAGTACTAATATTTATAGTTAATGTATTTTATAGGCTGGGAAATTTGGACAGCTAACTTACTTCCGTGTATATCAGGGGCAGTTATGTCGTGGTGATACTATTTATGCTTCAAAAGATGGTAGGAAAGTACGCGTGCAGAAATTAGTACGGATCCATGCTAATTCATTGCAGGTATGTTCAACCGGTTAAAATGAAATTGGTTTTGAGAAAGTTCGATGTTATACTTTCTCTAAGAAAGAAAAAACTTATATTTCTATATACAGGAAATCGATACTGCATTTGCTGGTGATATTTGCGCCACGTATGGTTTAGAATGTTTTTCGGGTGAAACATTCTGCGGCGAGAGTGATTACGAAGTTCACTGCGTAAGTTTATTTTCTTGTTTAAGTGCATATTATCTCAATTAAAAAATCCAGTGTAACAGAGAATAATATTATTTCACTGCTACGTATTATAATAATAATCTTAAAAGTCGCATTTTTCAGGAATCAATGCATATCCCGCAACCAGTAATTTCGATGTCTATTCGATGTGTAAACAATAAAGATGGCGAGAAATTTATGAAAGCTCTAAACCGTTTCACTAAAGAAGATCCAACATTCCGCAAGGAATATAATACGGAAGCGCGAGAAACCGTAGTCTCTGGAATGGGCGAATTGCATTTGGTGAGCCTTTGAATCTTTTCACTTTGATGATTTAACATGTGCTGTTTTACACTTATTTTTCATCCTATTTTTCCAGGAAATCTATGCTCAGCGCATGAAAAACGAGTTTAATTGTCCTGTTGTACTAGGTGCACCAACGGTTGCATACCGTGAAACCATTGCGAACCCATACAAGTACATTTAATTTTCATTCACTTTGTTATTTCCTTTCATTCACCAAAATTATGCATATATAAGAAAATGTTGTATTCAATTTTTAGTAGCAAAATGAAACCGTTTATTTGGAAGTTGGAAGGAATTTTCGAAAAACTTTAATTCCAAGAATTTTAACTTTTCTCTTTGTGGTTATATAAATATATTTGAATATTTTATATTGTCATTATACTTTGTTCCAGTCGGACATTAGCACTCTCTTTTAAGGTTTTATTATCGACATAAAAAGCAAACTGGTGGTCAGGGACAGTTTGGAGAAATTGAAGGAATAATGGAACCATTGCCACCGCATCGGAACATGGAAGTTGAATTTGTTGATGAAACAATCGGGAATAATATACCGAAAAATCTTATTGTTCCGCTGAGAAAAGTAAATTTTGCTAACTGCTAAAATCTAGTGGTAGCTTTGTGGTTGCTTTAAGACTATAAAATATGTGGCGTAAATGAATTAAAAGTAAACTACAGATGACTTTAAAAGACGAACGAGTGATAAGAGTAAGTTAGAAAAAGCATGAGTAAAATTAATCGGAAGACAAAAGTAATCTAGAAATTTTCAGGGCTTCAATATGATGTTAGATGAGGGTCCGTTGATCCATACCAAAATTGCCGGGATCAAAGTTCGACTTCAGGATGGTAAAACGCATGAAGTTGATTCAACTGATATTGCTATGATAAATACGATGCAGAATATGATGAGAGAAGGTTAGTGGAAGTTTTCTCATCTATATGATCGGATTTCAGATTTCCCCTATACTGATTTGGTCCAAAGTTTTCGACACCTCTCATCTATTCATTGCTGTGGATATTGACACCTATTATGAGTATAAGCTACTTTCCCGTTAGCTTTTGAACATTGAAATGATATTCGGCATCTCATCGCGTCTATATATATTATAAGCAAGAAATTTTCAGCATTTTTGAAGGCTGAATGGAAATTGTTGGAGCCTATAATGAAAGTGGATATAACTATTCCAGAGGAGTTTCAGGTAACATGGGCTTACTTCTCCTATTTAATTTTCCGCCTAGTTAGTTTTTAAGTTCACTTCCTAATAAAATAATAATATGTTTAGAGTTCAATATCGAGTACATTATCATCGGGTTCTATCCTGTTGGATTCATCGCTTTCCGGTGGTTATTTAACTCTTATATGTGAAGTAAGACATTTCGCCTTTATAGAGTAAAATTAAAAGATTTCTTAGGTTCTAGACTAATCCATGAAAAGAATGTAGTACATTTAGAGAAAGACTAAGATTGAATTTGGTGATTTGAAAGTTGTTAAGTCCGAATTTTCGTTCCATTTTTGGCGTCATTTGGAAGTATTTTTAGGCTCCTTTAAGAGCAATGTTTGGTTACTCGACAAAATTGCGGACAATGACAAAAGGAAAAGGGGAGTATGTAATGGAATTCGCCAGGTAATTCAAGCAGATTAACATTCTCCTTATCTATTGCAATTTGTAACGTTAACTGCATCCGCTGATTTAATAACATTTTGGAGATACATGTCATGTAAATGTTAAATGCTATGTCAGCTAAAAAAAAGTGCCGATTCAGCGAAATTTTTTTAGATCCTGACCAAGAGTGAAAGATTGGTATGTCTTGCTGCTGGTAAATATTATTGCAAAAATTTCAAATCGCTATTCTAGAATAACACCCTCATTTTTTTTCTTGGCATCTCTGTCGTAACGAGTTGATTACGCAAATTGTATACTAGCCCTTTAAATTTATGCATCAAAGTGAGTGGAATTGTCAACTGCCATGTCAGTCTTTACCTGCTAAGCAAAAAAAATTATCAAGGACTAATTTTGACTATCCAGGTATGCGCCATTAGCCTTGGATATTCAGCAACAAGTTATGAGAGATTGGAAAGAAGCGCAGGAAGCGAATGAAAAAGGAAGCGACAAGAGGAAGAAGAAATAGAAAGAGAGAAGGAAATATAAATGAATTTAGTCGTATTGAAATTTCCGAAACATTGATTTTTTAAGCTTGATAGAAATTATGATTCGTACTTTTTCATATTTCTCAGTGTATTCATTAATGCTTTGAATAAGTCGTAATAAAGAATGTCATGATTTGATACGCTCAGCTCCATTTTAATCTATCAAATATTTTGGAATATTCTAGAAATTCCGAGTACTTCACTGAATCGATGAGATACGAAGCGGAGAAATAACGTAAGATGTTGTTGTTCTTATTGTTATATGTTGATTTGCCAGTTAGAGGATGAATTATTAGTGTTATATGTTTTCTTTTTGTAATAAGTTATGCATATTTAGGACGGTGAAATATTTGCTCAATAAATAATGTCGATGTTTTAGTAGTTTAGAACAGAATTTATCCCTTATTCATATATTTATATGTGCATGTTTGTTCATACCTTCCATTTATTCGAAAAATTCGGAAATCTGTCATTTAAGAGTCTGTTATATAATTTCTCATATACAACTTTCTGAGCAATGGAGTTAGGCGTTTATTTTCAGTTTATTATTTTATAGTTCATTAACAATCGTTAGTTAAGTGAATTAATATTCATATCTACTTGATTTTAGCGATATGCATCCCAATAAGGATATTCGTTTTGGTTGATATAATCGCCAGATATCATATTGTGGCATAAACTCAAAGACGATTTCATCTGAAATTACATTCCATCACTGGTCACATTTCTTCAAACTGGAAAGAATTAAAATTTTTCTTTTCTTCAAAAAAATTCCTCAAAACAAGAGTTGTCTTAGATCTATTTTTCATTTTGCATTTTACAATCCATTTTTTCTTACTTTTTTTTTTTGAATGACTTATTTGTGCTAGACTATTCGTCGATATTTTTTGGTTCGGGGGATTTAAACCACTTATTTAAATTACTTTTAAATATGAAATGTCATACATATTATTCTCTAATAATGACGTAAACGTGATAATGACTGTCTACTAGTAAAGAAACAAAAGTAAAGTAAGTTTTGAATTTATCGAAACAAATAAACTTCCATATACTTCATTTTTACGACAAATACAAATTCTGGGAAATCAATAAAAAAAAAGAACTTTCACAGACAAACATTTGGGGTACAACAAAAGTTAATCAGTCAATTTGTGGCTAATAGACTAAAGAGAATTAATTACAAAAAACGTTTTTACAGTTAGAGTAAAGAAATTTTCGAGTGATTCGTATTGAACATTGACATTTTACGTTTAAATTTTAATAAAAGCCGATTCAAAAGTGAAAAACGAATAAATAAAAGGACATGAGCGCCATAAGCGCTGTTGCTCTTATTACATTGGAATTTAAATAGTAATCCTCAAGTGAAAATCTAAAAATATAAATGAAGAATCATAAATGTCGTAATTCATTAATTAATTTTCCTAAACCTTAATGCATTTTTTTTTTTTTATATTATATTTGAGTAATATTACTTGATAGAATGAAATAAAAGCAATTTCCCTTCAAAAAAACTATCCATTTCAAAGGATTTTTCATTTTTAAATTAAACTAATTAAGTAAAGTATTTTGTTAATGTATTTTATAGTTTGTTAGAAAAAAAAATCGCATTACCTTTAATCATATTGAAGTTCGATGAATGAAAATCGGTGAAATCTACGTAGTTACTTCGCTTTAACGGTCGTCCAGGACGTAAATTGTCACTTGTAATGATTAGGTAATACTTTCCGAAACTGTCACCTGTAATGATTAAGCAAAACTTTCTTTAATTATCATCTGTAATAATTAGGTAATACTTTTCCTTTTCCTTTTTTACTCTAATTTCTTTATAATTTATTTTAAACTTTTGCATCACTATCACTATCTCCTATTATGATAGTTTCGTAACAGTTAAATTAAATTTAATTAAAAATAAAAATGAAAAAAAATTCCCATTTAAACTCTTTTCACTTAATTATGATTATTCCAAAAATTAAATCATATTTTTAATTAGTCTCTCAAAATTACATAAAAACATTTAAAGTATATTCATTAAATTAGCAATATTTTTTATTAGCAAATTCTTGTGAAAGGCAGAAATTTTTTCATTAACCTCCTAACATTGTCCCTTAATTTAATCATTTAATGGTATAATTACGATTTAATTTACGATTTTAATTTAATTCCTACAATTCATGCATTTAACATTATAATTAATATTATGCATGATATCCATCCTGAAATATTAATATTTAATATATAACTATATAACAAACTTAGGTTAATTACTTTAAAAAAAAAAAAGAAAATATACCGTCGAAAATAATGTTTTCACTTAATTATGATCATAATTCATTTATGATTATAATTAAATTCTTATGAGACTCAAGAATATGCAACCAAAATTTTTGTTTTCAAATTGAGCAAAAAAATCTTAAATTCAATTCAAAAAACATGACTTTAATAAGTGTCCAAAAGTGATTTAAATCTTTCCAAAAGTAATTTAAATTTGATTTGATTTAAAAAAAGACGAGTTGCTCAGTAACTATCTTTACTTTATATTAAATTTGAAATGCTTTATACTTTTCTTTGAATTTCCAAACATTAAAATTATATATTTTCAAAAAAAGAAAAAAAATTTGTAAAATTTTATAAAAGTTTGAATAAATTTTATCTATTAATTTAAAGTTAAAATTCAATAAAGTATGATAAAATTGACAAAAATGTAAAAGAATGTGGCAATCCTAATGAGCTATCAATTAATGGTAATTAATAGAGCTTATTTCGTTTTAATTAATTAATAAATTAAGTCAGCTATCTCTTTCCTTTCCAAATGTCAGCTATCATTTTTTAGTTCATAAAAATAGTCGTCCAAAATCGATGCGAAAAAAAAAGAAAAAGTTTCAGTTTGCTGTCACTGTTTTTCACTTTGTCTCATTTTTTTATTTTTTTATTTTTTTTTTTTTTGGAGATTTAAAAAATTTCCAAATTCTGTAATTTCACATAATTTTCGAAAACAATTAATGTAAAATAATTGTTTCAATTATTATTCCGATAGTTGTAATAATTTCAATTTATCGCACTAAATTATAGTTGGGATTTGAAAAAGAAAATATCAGAAAATGAATTTGCTAATTTAATAAGTATTTACTAAACTTATCTTAATAAATTATCTTTAAAATTAAAAACCAAATTGTCGGTTAGGATTAAAATGAAAACATTGGAAAAAAAAATATTTGTAAACTTAAACAATCATAGAGAAAATCGAAAAAAACAATAGATGGAATAAAAATTAATTAAACAATAAATAAAAAATATTCAAAGTTACCACTGATAACAATCTAACTAACTAATTAGTTAGCTAGCTAGTTAAATAATTTGAAATAACTTTGTTGAAATGACTAATATAGATGACATTATTTACTTCCTGTTGGTTAGTAATTAGACTAAATATATGGATGGCGTCATAACTCTTAAAAGTATCACAAATTTTTTTCATGCTTTAAAAATTTTACAAAATGAAAAAAAAAGAAAAAATTTTTAGAAACGAAAATTCCATTATGGTTTCCTAACAAATTCATTTCCTAAAATTTTCTTTCAAAAATTTTTAAAAAGACAAATGGACCTTTTTTTTAATTCCACAACTATGGAAAAATTTTTTTTATAATATTTATTTTGTAATATCATATAAATATTACAAACTTCATTAATCATAATTTTTTTGCAAGAAAATAAAATAAAAAAAGTTATGTAATATATTTATGGACAACAGTTATTTCAATTTTAAATTTAATTCCATTTTTTTAATTTTTTTTCTTACTATTAAATGTATAGATTAAGTTATGATAGTAAATAAATTTTGGGGAATAAAATTTTGCCAAACTTTTGTAAAGTAATTGAAGTGTGGAGAAGTATAATGAAGTAACATACATTTAAAACTTCCTAAAATTAACTATCTTCTCAAATTGATTATGAAATAAAGACTATGGCAATTGATAGATAATTAGATCAAAGTAATAATTCTAATCTTTGAGTTTTGAATAATCACGACAATTATCTGTTATCAGTGTTTTTTATTCGATGTTAAAGTAAATGTCGCATTTTTCTAATTTAATCAGAAAAATCACTCTTTTTTCTGATTTCTATATTGTTTGGTGAGTATTTTTGTAACATTTTTAATGATTAATTGAAACTAATAAGAACTATTGCATAATACAAATATAACAAATGAACTTTGACCTTTTGTCCATTTTTTCCATTTGCAACTAATTGTTAAAAACAAAAAACAAATTTTCCAAACATTTTTGAATGCCTATTATTTTTTCTCTCAGATTGTCGACTACCGTATTTTCTTTTTGAATTTAAAATTATCCAAGCAATAAAAACTTTATTCGAAAAAAAAAAAATGTCTCCAATCCACCGTATTTTCTCTAGAACAATCCGATATTTTAACTAGATTGTTGATAACCAAGAGAAAAATTGATAATAGAATAGAATGATATGATATTTTTAGGTTTAATAGATGGATCATTTCTTCTTACTGTCTAAAATATCTTTTCTTATTTGTTTAGAAAATATTCTTTTATCATTACAGTAGTAATGATTCCTAGATGGATATGGTAGCTAAAATATCAAAAAGCGTTTTCTTCGCCATCCCTTTTGAGAATGAGAATATTCCGTTATTATTACAGGTAATAATGATTTTTAAATAGATATCTTAAATATTTGAAATGCAAAATGTCAAATATCGTTTCTTTAGACAATATTTTATTATATAGAATATTCCATTTTTTCTTATCGCATATTCATTACAGTAACAACGACTTTTCCTTACTATATATTCATTACAAAAAGTAACAGCGATTTTCTCGTACTGTATATTCATTACGTACCACCATCTTCTTCTTACTGTACCTTCGTTAAAGTAACAACGTTTTTTTTTACTGGACATTCATTACAGTGGTAACGATTTTTTCCTACTGTAATTTTTTTTATCACTTATGAATCATTTGAAATAGCCAAAAATAATCGACAGAATGATGTTGTGGAAAAAATGAATGCACGCAGTTGCATTCTGTTAATTAATTATCCTGCATTATGCATGCTGCGATACATTTTTGAAGATAAAATTTTTAAGATTTAAAAAGTGGTAATATTCCAAAATGAATTTGTTTTCAATATTTTAAAACTGCACGTTTCAGTCTATCTATAAAGATTTTTTCCTTTTGTTTCTTATGCAGCGATAGAAAAATCCCTTATTCCATTAAGGTATAACAAGGTATTATAGCTTCTAACATATTGAATGTATCGATGGAAGAGGGCCAATTGATGCTGCTTAATATGCATACGTAATTAGCAGTTTAGGTCACGAGTATTTTACGTGACCTAACGTTTCATCAATTTAATGAAAAAGGACGAGAAAACAAAAAACAAAAAAAAACAAAAAAAGCGAAAGAAAACCAGTTAAACAAAAAATAATTCAAACAATGTGGTAAAATGTTCAGGGCGACCGTCTAAGGCCTCGTGGCGCAATGGATAACGCGTCGGTCTACGGAACCGAAGATTGTAGGTTCGACTCCTGCCGAGGTCGGGAACTCCTTCTTTTCTCTTTTGAATTGAAGATTTTTATTTTGTAGTTTTTCTTCAATCATAATTACAGTTCAATTATTGACCATTTTAATAGGGTAAGACATACGTCTATACTTCTCCACATTTGTCCATATCATGAGTCTTCGTTTAATTTCCCTTCCGTACATAATACCTATCCGGCACGCCGCGGGCCGTATTTTACTGGACGGCCCTGACGTTCATTTCTGCGATAAATTAGTACGAGGAGGAAGGGGTGATGTTTTCACGTACGTTAGGTTTTTACTCACTTTAAGCTTTCTTTACTTTTTCACATTACTATCAATCCAGTGATATTGCTTTATCCATTAAACCATTCGTACCAAAGTAGAGTGTTCAGTTTCATTTCAGTCTGACTTTTTTTTCTGTTTAATTGTCACATCACATTTGGAATATTGCGTGGTTAAACCATTGCAAACTTCTTTTCTTTTTTTTTCGCAGATATAATAACGTATGAAGTCAATTGGTTTAAGTTTAATCTACTAAATGAATGAGACTTACGTCACGCAACTTGTAGATAAAATGGAACATAATGATAGGGGGAAAAAAAAACATGGATATGAATGTGATGATAAGAAGCGGAAGAGGCGACGGAGGCATCACGAGCGCAGTTCCTCAAGCTCCAATACTGATAAGGTATTATTACTTTTTTGATCTGCGACTTCCTCATACTCTTTTTTTTCTTTAGAAATCATGACTTTTCACTGCTACCACAATTACTTTCATTTCATCTCCATTACTAAACATTTCGTTGTAGCACTGGATTATTATTCTTGTGCATTTCGGTTCTGAATGATCTGAGAGATGCTTGTATTCTGAAATAAGCTACCATAAAATGTACTGAAGAACGTGGATGGTGAGGTATTCTTATTACCAAACCATTTCTAGGATGATCGATTTGATCAGCGTTTGAATGCATTACGAGAAGAGAAGAAGCGGAAGAAGAAGAAAGAAAAAGAAAAAAGGAAGAAGATGGAAACTTCGGAAGAGAAAAAAGCCAGACGTTTAGCAAAAAAACTGAAAAAGGTTTTTCTATTTGTGATGTTTGTAATCTTTAGTGATTAAAAATTATTTAGTATGATAATTTCTTCCCGTGAATTTCAAATACAGCAGTTTCTAAATATAGTTTATTCTTCACTTTTTTATCTTGATAGGTAGGAGGTTTTACTCCTTTGAATTTTAAGCTTTTAAAAGTTTCGTGTTTTATATTTGCTGAATGATATGTTATATTCACTTTCATCAATAATTTTGAAGGCGGAAAAAGAATCAGGCGTAATGTTGGACGATGAAGCCAAATACACTAACACCAATAACCCATTTAATGATCCGAATTTGACTTCTACTTTCATATGGACTAAGAAATTGGCAGCTGAAGGCAAGGCTGATTTGTCACTCAAACAAATTGAAAAAATGTAAGTTAATTGGTTGTGAGCTACGGTGAGATCATTTTCAGTTCATCAGATTAATCAAATATCTAGGAAGATATGTTGTTTATGCAAACGATTAACCTACTACTATTTATATATTAAAACAGTGGCTGGTCATATGTAATTAAGCTTAATTCTTGCTTCTTTATTAATTCTGTTGAATATAGGAACAGAGATCGTACCCTCAAGAACTTAGCAGAAATGGAAGAGCTTAAAAGAAACAGAGAAGCACGAGATGCAGCTAGGGAAGATTTAGAAATGATCAAAAGAGATGAGGAAAGACGGCATAACTCAGACTGGTATGCGACAGAAGAAGGGTTCTTACTTAGTCAGGCTAAATTGCGCACACAGATCAGGCTGAAGGAAGGACGAGCAAAGCCTATCGATTTCCTTGCGAGGTACTTTGGTATTGATGTTTTATCTTGCGTCATTTCTCTCAATGGAGTCATTTTTGTTTCAGCTTGTTGCATTTCTTTTTCCCTTTTTCTCGTTTGCTGGTAGGAGACTTCAACTGTTGGGTAATTTGTTATCATTTGAATATTTTTAGATATATCAACTATGATAGTGAAAAGATGGAAAATAAGAAAGATGATGAATTTGAGCTTGTCGATCCGTTAACGTATCTGTACGGACTTAAAATCAAGGATCTGGAAGATTTGCTTGAAGATATCAAGGTATTTTGTTTTTCTTGATTCCAAGCATTGTATATCTTCAAGATTATTCAGACTTTTAATAGTCGAGCCATCTGTGCTGCTTTTTTACAAATCAGTTTTATAAATAGGTTTATCGACGAGTCGATCCAACTGATAATTCAATCTGGTGGACAGATTTTTGTACAGTTGTTCGGCATGAAATACGAAAGTTGTCTAATGATGTTAATTCGACTAACGCAAGAGAATCAGTTCATAATTCTGTGCAAAGTGATATTACCCGATTGTTCAAGGTCAGTGCTGTTTCGCTTATTCAGAAAAGAGCTGTTCTACGAAAAAGTGAAATAGCTTCTTTTTTGATGAGCATTTATTTGGTGATGATAGCATAGCTTATGGGATTTTCCGAAAAAAAAAACTTCTATATTGACTGCTTTAATATCATAATTACATAGTATCGAAAAAATGATCCGACAAGCGATAAAATTAACTGAATCTGATAATTTTTTCGCGAAGCCAAACATTGCGAAATAATATTACAGGGTAAAACTCATCAGGAATTAGCACTGTTGGAAACCCAGATCAAAAAGAAGATTCACAGTGGTGAACCTGGTATAGATGTGGAATTCTTGGAATTCACGTTACAACATCTTCACGTACATATGGCGAAAGCTCGTGTTCATGAACGACATCAGGAAATATTACGGGGTAAATTGAAAAGGATAAAAGAAGAGCAAAAGGCTGAAAAGGACAAACGTGAATGTGAATCTGAGCAGGTCTTCAGAGTGGTAATATTTTGCTTGATTTAGTTTCTATTTAGGATAAATATCAGCAGTTCTTCAGTAAAATGATTCTAGGAAAATAGCGAAGGTTCGAGTGGAATGAAGCAGTCAGCTAAGCTAAAAACACTTCCTATACAGCTGGATGAATTAGATGCTATGGAAGATGATATTAAAGAACAGCAATGGCGGTACGTTTCATTGAAGTTTAATTATGTTACCTTTGTGCCATTACGTAAATTGAGATATTAAATTAAAAGGAGTAAATAACAAAGCATGCTGAGTATGAAATGGTTTTGCTTACTACGAGATCAATATCATGATTGCAAAAATTGATCAGAGGCTAAAAAATGATCACTGAAGGCAAGAAAAAAAAAAAAAAGAATCACTGAATGGAGCCTTCCATGAATAGATTTGGTTGATTTCTGAACTATTTATGAAAATTTTCTAGTGTTGTTCAAAAATCATAGTGAATTTAGACTTTTGACGGAGGACGAAATGGAAATTCTAACACTGGAAATGTATGAACATGGTTCATATAGTCCATCGTATGGTGATGAAAAGGAAGCTATGCCAGGTATAGAAATTCTGGATGAAACAGAAGATATCCAAAAACGTAAAGAAATGATGAATAAAGCTGAGAGCGGCTCTGCAGCGTCTACATCGAATGATCTGTCGGTAGTTTTTTTTTCTTTTTTTTGTTTTAGTTCTTGTTTTTCATGCTTCTATCAAATGGTGGTTTACTTCATTTGCCATTCAGCAGTCCTTAAATATGGATGACAGAGGCATTTGTTTCCTATATTTGTTATTTTTAATTAAAAATCAAAGTTACATTTAGTCTGTCAGTATTATTATAGGTGGCAGAAGCGGAAATGGAACTGATAGCTCGCCGAGGTATGACGAATGATGAAGCAGCATTTTCAGTGGAAGCACCGCTTGAAGCACAGACTTTTCTTTGGTCTGAAAAATATCGTCCGCGGAAACCAAGGTAATCCTCACTACGTTTCTCTCATATAGTGATTCCTTAAAAACCTAAGCGATGATGAAGTTGTATTAGCGTTGTTGTCAGTCATATCTTATGATTTATACTAATACTAATGGGACTAAGGAGATTTATACTCGATCTACTGTATTCATGAATTTCATGATCTAACAGTTTTAATAATCTGCATCTTGCTAAAAATAATCTGTTCTTCATTCATATGTAGAAATTTTTTGATTTTTTTGATTATAGATATTTCAATCGTGTACATACTGGATTCGAGTGGAACAAATATAATCAGACTCATTATGATATGGATAATCCGCCACCGAAAATTGTGCAGGGTTATCGCTTTAATGTAAGTCATTCAAAGTTTTGAATTGTTTTGAAAATTTAGTAGTCTATTAAATTCATTTGGTAGTCGTTAAAAGCTTTTCATTTTATCAAGTTAAAGATTAAAAGTTAACATTTGGTGAATAAATAAGAATCATGCTGCGTTGTTATCATAAGAACCCTAGACTGCTTGGTAATGTGATAGCAATAATCAGCCAACTAAACATTGGCTTACCGGAAATAGCTTGCAATGCTATAATGCAAGTTTTCGTTTATTGATTAATGCGCAGGTTGGGTTGGATGGATATCGATGGTTCGAAATGTTTCCTCAAATTTGCGCGAAATATTTTCTCCCTGTATTTTGGCGTTGTTTGATCCTTATAGTTTCTCCCATTCCTCATTCAAGTAGTTAGGGCGATTATATGAAACTGTAGCTGGAAATCCTTTCTTCAATCCATGTTAAACCTAAATTTTATTTGCTTCCAGATATTCTATCCCGATTTGTTGGATGTCACAGAAACGCCAACGTTTACGGTAACACCATGTGATGACCCGGATTTTGCTGTGATAAGGTTTCATGCCGGACCACCTTACGAAGATATAGCCTTCAAATGTGTTAATCGAGAATGGGAGATTAGCCATAAGCATGGTTATAAGTGTCAGTTTGTTAATGGAATTTTCCAGTTATGGTTCTATTTTAAGAGATACCGATACCGGCGCTGATTGATTATTGATTCAGTTCAAAACGTCTTTGAGGTGTTATGCTTACGTATTTATTTAGCACGTTCTCGTCGTAGGATTTTCTTCTTTGAACTACGCTTGGTTCTTCATAAATTGAAATTAAACCTCAAATCGTCAGATTTTAATCATATTGTACTTTGATTGATTGTTCGTAAATCATTTCTGTTTTAGATAGTTATTGTTGTTGATCAATTCAATCTATTGCTTTTAATAAAACAATGCTAAGATAATATGATTAACTGAAGAAATCAAAATTAAGTAATCACTGGTGTGGGATACAGAAGGGAGTTCACTTCTTTCTGAAAGTTGGAATAACTGGTTAGACTCTCTATTGTTGATGCGCATATGGGTCTGTCTTGTCCGTCAATTCTGGACATTACAAGAATGGAAGATTGGTTAGCGTTGTTTTGATTCTTTGCATTCTTCGTTGAGTTGCAGTGCTTAGTATCTTCAACACCTCCACTTTGATGAAGAAGAAATGGTTGGAATCCACAACAAAAGAGAGTTGGTAAAAATGGTGTACTGCATTGAGACATGGTAGTGGTAGACGGTTTGGAGTTCAATTCTTGGGTGTGTACCGGTGATGAAACGACATCAATCTGCTGTTCACGTAGTGATCGATCATGGTTGAAATGAACGTTTGTCACAAATCTGAGGTGACATCCCATATGCTTTATTAACTACATGCACTTTAAGTTGCAAGGAAATTGATCAGGGATCAGAGGGCAAGTGTCAGAGGTCTTTAATCTACTACTTTTCATAAAATTTGGAACTTTTTTTTTTTATTAATGTTACCTTTTTACCCTTCTCTTTTGCTGAAACATTTGGAAAGTATTAAAAAATTTTCCTATAAAATTACAGTAACCCATATAATGACTATACTGATAATATGTAAATATCGATATAATATAAAGTAATCGCACATCACGAAATCCTAAACTTTTCCCGGTCTTTCCGGCAAAAATGACCAATTCTTCTGTCTTTTGGTAATTTTTTTTCCAAGATATTAAAAATAAATTGGACAATTTAATTTCCTGTTTACTTATTTTATTTTTCATTCTTATATTGTAAAATATAAATTTTGATAATTAAACTTATACTTTATTTTTTTGCTCAAGAAAAAGTAAACGTTAAAGACACGTACGCTTTATGTTAACGTGTCCTAGCAACAAATAAACGGAAAGCAAAAAAAAAATACATATTCATTGCTCTGATATGTTTGTTTCATTCTTTTTTTTTTTAATAAAAGTTTTTACGTAATGATTTGACCATTTTTCAAATTACAAATAATCTAAACGATTTATGAATGGATAGAATTTGCAATTTGTAATTGTAATGAATCTGTTATGATAACTGATACTCGTTTATACGGAAAGAAATCCGGAAATCCAGTTATGTACAGAGATTTGGGAATACATATATATTAATTAATCTAAATTGTCAGTCAAGTGGCCTCGTGGCGCAATGGATAACGCGTCGGTCTACGGAACCGAAGATTGCAGGTTCGACTCCTGCCGAGGTCGTACATGGTTCAGCGTGACCTTTTCCTGAAAAAGGAGTCACAACTGTTTTCATTTACCTGAAATTGTAAATGATCTCATTTCAATTGAAGGTATATCCTTTACCTTTATTGAAAATCAGATATGAGATGATCAAATAAAAGGTTGGTGGAACTAGTCAACAGAAATAACGGGCACAAATGTAATGTGCAAAATATTGTCATAAGATAACAAAAACAATACCAGTCAACGAAGTTGATTTCCAATTTATTGTTTGTCATTAGAATGAAAGAGCAAAGATCAAAGAAGTTGAAGTCAAAAATCATCCATTCTATTACTGTAGTTAATGCATGCATGAAGAAAAAGGATGGAAAAATTTTACAACCGATTATTTAAATCTTGACGTTTTATGAAATTAGCCATAAATGAATTTATTAAAACTTTAAAGCGGTTGTTTCTCGAAAGATGTCAAATGTTGTGCTTTAAAAAAAAAAATTCTTTTTTTATAATTTGCAAAAGTTGACAATCTTAGACATTCTCTTCCTTTACGAGGTTAAAGGTTAAAGATATGAAGTGATGAGAACTTTACTAAAACTACCAATATATATAGAAATATCAGAATATATAGGAATATCAGAATATATATAGAAATATCTGATAGAAATATTAGAACATATTCAGTTTTTGATTTTTATGAGAGAGAAAGACAGAGGGATAGAAGAAGAAAGGAGAGAGTGAAATGAACATTATTTGAATGCATGCATGTATTCGCAACAGTGCATGCAACTGTTAAAATGCATGTTACCAAAGGAAATTGCTTTAATTTAAATGCATGTCATAATAATTTTCATAGCTTTGATATTTATGAATTACGCAACAAAACCTTAAATTTATTTATTAATTCGTTTAAAAAAAATAGATAATAAAATGTTAATTTTAGTATAAACGTAGTAATACACAACGTTTACTACGATACATTCTTCGACGACAACAATGTATGATAATACTATTTTTGCAAATAATTATCCTAATCACATTTATTGGTATCACAATCATACAATATTATAGTACTGCTAGTCTTGATGTTTGTTTTTAATTTTTTCACTTTATTAAAGCATGAAATCGTTTGAGAAATTATTTTAAAAAAAAGAAACCTAGTTTTGTTTCTTTTTCATGTTATTATTATTATTATCATTATCATTATTATTATTATTATTATTATTATTATTATTATTATTATTATTATTATTATTATTATTATTATTATTATTATTATTATTATTATTATTATTATTATTATTATTATTATTATTATTATTATTATTATTATTATTATTATTATTATTATTATTATTATT